GTTGCAGGACTCAGGGAGTGGGGGTCCTGCCACTGCGCGCTGCCAGTTCAGGAGGGCATAGGAGCCAGTGTGTGCCCCCTGGATCTGCACGGCACGGGCTGGGCCAGGCTGCGCTCCATGGGGCAGGTGGAGCCAGGGTTGCACTCCGGGCACCTAGCCCCAGCTGCAGCCTGAAGCACAGCACTGGCTTTGCCCACCCTGCAGAGTGCAGTGGAGTGGGGGCTATAGGGAGGCTGCAGCCACCCTAAAATTCCCCATAGCCCCTGCCACCGGCCCCTCCCCAATCCAGGTGCACACGCCCGTCCCCAATGCCCTGCCACTGCTCACCCAGCCAGGGCACAGCAAAGCAAACCCATGGCTTCTCCCAGAGGTGCAAGGAGGCTGGCGTGACTTCCACCGTTGTGCACCGCTTGTCTCAGGCAGTGCGGTGGCACTGTCCCACGCCTCCCCACCCCTATTAGGTAAGTGGTGGGAAGGCATAGCCCCCATTCCCAGAGCCTTCTACCATGCATCTGGAGTGCAGCCTGGCCCAGTCCACCCCGTGCAGTTCTGGGAGTACATGCTGGCTCCCATGCCCTCCTGAACCAGCGGTGTGCAGTGGCAAAAGCCCCCGTCCCCGAGTCCTGTGGCCCCCTGCCCCAGCTGGGCAACTTGTCCTAGCCCCAGCCCCAATCCCTCACTTGTTGTGGGGGCATTGATCTTCCCCCCACACGCCCCTTTCCTCCCCACTCCACCCACCACAACAGACTTACCAGCTGGAGGCAGCTGTGCCCAGCATGGTCAATGACTGCTGCCTATTTAACTCTATGGTGAAATCTCTCCAAATCTATTCAGAGGCTTCCGATTTGATTCAAACCTTTTAATAGGTCTCCCAATTCAATTCAACTTTGGAGATTCAGCCACCAAATTGGGCTAAATCTCCTCCAAATTGAATCGGCTACCAAAGCTTCGTACAGCCCTAAAAAACACTTTAATTTTTGGAAGGCAGTCTGATGATGACTGTCTAGCCCTAGTCACAGATTTCTCAAGGGAAGAATTGCATGTACTCAAGCTGTACTGGACTTATTGGCTAAGGATGCTTTCTACACAAGATCCTGCAGTCCAGAGCCAGGTCTCAGAGTGGGAGAACTGCAGAATCCATCCTTGTATAGATTAAGGGATGAGACCCAGCACCAGAGGGCTGCTCTCAGAAAGACTGGAGATAGGGCAGAGCTGCAACTACCTCCTGTAACTTTGACACTGAATACCTGCAGTGAGTTTCTTGGTTATAGAATGGGACATGCCCACATCCTGAAGGGAGGCTGCTTATAAGACACCACTGGTATTTGGTAGGGTTGTGCAAAGTTTCAGTCCCTGATTCAATTTGGCAGAGATTGGCCTGATTCAGTGGCTGAATCTCTCAATCTGATTCAAATCAAGAGACCCTTTAATCTCTCCAAATCAAATCGGAACCCTCCAAATCAATTTGGAGAAATTTAGAAAGA